TACAAAGGAAGGTAGGTATCCTACTGCACTATCCCAGTGTTACTTCCCAGACAAAATGTGGGAGTTTGTATATGTTAAATTATGTAGTTTAATCAGTTTATGAAAGTGTTTTATGATGCACTGCCTGCAAGACCACGGTAAGTGAACTCTAGGCTTTGATATCCATGTGGCAGAGGTGAGCCAGGTATAAATATCCAGATGTGCCTGGATAAGCCCTCTTAAACATCTCTGTTTAAGCCCCTTTCCAGGGGGCACTGTGTGGGACCAGGCAGAGGTGTGCAGGTCAGCAGGGGCAGTTACTGGGGTTACATGGATGGGGTTCTCTTGCCAAACTTCTAGGCCCTTGCTTACTCAAGAACAGGGAGAACGCCTACCAGGCCCAAGACCCCTGAGGAATCAGGGCTCCTGAAGGAAAGAACCAACATGCTCATCCAAACAAACAACGTGCACTCCAGAGGCTCTCAGACCAGGGAAAACGCAAGAGCAATAGGAGCCATTAGCAAAATTATCTAAAAATTCTTTTCTGCAGAGACAGAGGGAAGAGGATCACACTATGCACTTGAACACACAGTAATCAGCATAAAACAGCTTCAACTCATTTTAAGGAAATGTCTCGGAGACTGAAACTTCTGTTTTTTTTTTTTTTCTCTCTTCTTACTGGCAAAGAGGTGCCTGGCAGAAGAGATGCAGTTGTATTCTTATATTCCTTTATACTTTCATGGAAAAGTTCAAGGGAAAAGGAAAAGAGCACAAATAAGTATTTTAAAGTTTTCTTCTTTCTTTTGGGATCACCATAGGCAGGTGAGGGAAGAAAACGGTGGGAGGAAATTCAGAACATAGCTTTTTGCTGAAACTCTACCAAAAAGGAACTTTTAATATGTTGCTCTGGTCACACACGGCATGTTGTAGGCCTCTTCTAGGATGGTCTGCATGCAAAGACCCACACATAGCAGAGAACTGAATATTAACCAGTTTACAAGCTAGCAGAAAGATTTGAACACATAAGTGGTGAGAAATGAACAAGGACTGCAAATGGAGGCCTAGAAACTGCGGGAAGGAAATGTGTAGGCCTCTCCAGCTGATCTGCATCTGAACTGTCATTTGCATCCTCCTAGGATGCGACTACAATCTGCCCTTATGGAATACTTACCCAGTAACACATAAGCTAGTTCCTCAAATAGTCTAATGATAAATGAACAAATTTACACACACACACCTTTTAAACCATCTAACTAAAGAATTACAATTGCTGCTACACATAAAGGTCAAAGTAAATGCTGATATTCTAGAACAGAACTATTTGATTTTTCTCTGCTTTGGGATGGCGTAAGTACTTCTGTCAACACATACTGATCAGAAAAAAACAAAGTACATGTCTGTTATCAATGGGATAAAGGAGAGGTGAAGTATGCCTCACTTGACTTCTCCCCACTTCTATACCATAAGGTTGCCAAGCTCACAAACGCTATGCTAGACCTTTCATGCACTGTCACTCCCAACAAGCTGCACTCAACTGAACTACCTGTTTTTTGGAGCTAAGAGCACAAATATCTTGAAATCTGTCACAGCCTGCCCAGTGCTTGCACATTTCTGAAATACTCCCTAAGTCAAACAAGACTGAAAATGAAGAATGGAAATAAAATCACAACCTTTTGAAAGAAACACGTTGTTTTAAAGCTCAATCCTTACCTCAAGTACCGAGTGTCTGTTTTTTTAAATTCAGTTAATCATCAGCATAGCTCCTGAGCGTTCATTTCAAAAGCCAGGTACACAAGCATACAGGTAAAGAGCACACAGCATATCATCCATCTTTTTGACAGGAACCTACTAAAGCTGCTTCATGGACCTCACACAAATCTTTAGGACCACTGACTATTAGTTTGATAATTTTGACACTAAAAACCCAGCACAGAGTAAAGGTTTGCTAACAACTCTCAAAGAGGTTTTCTAGCATTTCTGTTTACATAGTAATTTCAATGTGGGACTAAAGCTAATGGAAATTCATGTCCCGTCAATTTAATTTTTTCCCTTTGCATAGGGGCGGCTCACTGCTCCTAGGTGGCACAAAGCACTGCCTAGCAACACTGCCTGGCAATGGCAAGGTGCCAGCAAATGGAATCTAACTCGGTATTGACCCGACCAGCGGGACTCAAGTTAAAAGTTAGAGTGAAATGGTTCAATGATAACTGCATGGGGAGAGAGAGGAGAAAAAAAAAAAAAGAGAAAAAAAGTGTTCTATCAGCTCTTAGTGACTTTTTAAAGTGCTTTCCTGAATTGTGATTCCCCCCCCCCCCCTCGACTCAAGGACCACGCTGTTACTAATATTTTTGCTTTTTGGAAAGACTTGTCAAATACAGTTTCCTGAGGTTTGGGGTTTTTCAGCATCACACCACACCCTCAGCTTGGTTCAGTAGTAGCCAGGATGCAGGGATGGGTTTCACGTCAAACAATCTGACAACTCTGAAAACTAGGACAGCTACAGTAGGCTGCCATTCACATCCCTTAACTCTATGGAGAAGGAGGAACTTACACAGCACCTTATCATCTGGCACTAAAACAGGTTAACACAACTGCACCTTAGAAGCGTGTAGTTGTCACTACAAAAGGAATCCAGATATTAGTGACTACATGCTGAGGTCTAATGTTAACTGAGATAAAGATAACCTTAGAAGTCCTTCCTTCAGGCAGGGGAAGGAAAGCAATCCTCAAGGAAAGCAAAAAAAAAAAAAAAAATGAGAAAAAAAAAGGTCTATCATTGGGTGAAATACTAGCATTTCTTCAATGCCACGTCAACACTTGAAAGTGCAACAACAATTGCAGGTCAACTACCCTACCTGGACACTAGGACCATCACAGACCCCTGTGCTTTCTACAGAACATTAATGCCTCTTCTGCCATAGCTACAATGGCCCAAAGAACTGAGATATCAGGTTTGCTGCAAGAATTAATTTCACTGAAAAATACTCCCTGCCCTTGAAACAGCCACTTTTCATGCTGTGGTCCAAAACAAGATGTCCTACCTGATCCTCTCTGTCCTTGAGCTTGCCACAGGGCAGAAAGTGGTTAGAAATAACTTTAGTTTGGAGTTGGAAAGTATTTTACAAAGCAGAACTGATAAAAGCATTCTGGAATAAATTTGGGAAGAAATGTACACATTACTTCTCTCCACACTCTTAAATTTCATGAAGGCAATTTTAGCAAAAGGAAATTTTGCATGTAGAGAGCAGGGAGATTAGGATTTCTGGAATCCACTTCAGCAAAAGACTCTAATTTTACTCTAATTTTTTTTTTATCCCAAAAAAGCTAATAAAAGATTCTGTGTTCCTGCTGAGAATGAATGGAGCAAAATTATAAGATGAGGTTTATGATAACAAGTCTCACTACTCCATTTTTGTTCTAATTTTATTTAGAAAGCATCTCACCAAGCCAATTTGTATTGCAGCACTTGCAAATATACTTACATCTCTCTGCAATATTATAAGGGCAAAAATGGATCAGTTTACTTAACTTGGTAATAAATGCCTGAATGTAAAGATCACATCAAACAAGCTAGACTTTCATATCAAGACAAATAACTTTGCGGGAGGCTTTGCATAAAGTGCTTTGCTTACTTCTCTTTCATGAGAAGAGTGTGTAATTTCAAAGAATTCCATTTCTACCTGGTCAGAAAAATCACAAATACCAAAGTGTATTATATATTCTACAAAATAATAAAAGGAGGAATCATTTACAAAGTGAAGTCCAATGCAAGAATAAGCGTGTCAAATCTCTGGATTTTATCATCAGCGAAATGGATCTGTTCTGTTCACACGTTATGTCTCTAAATCAGAGCATTATCCTACTCCTTGGCGCAATTTGGTATAACTGGCAGTCTCCAGAGAAGAGACGACTAGAATATAGTAGCAATGAGATGAGAAGGTCATAGTATAGGTCAGGAAAGAGCTCTGCTTGGGAACTTCATTGCACCTGCTCTTGCTGTGCCTGCCTTTCATTTCATCAACTTCTGAAATCCAAGCAGAAATTTTTGACACTATGCATTTTTTCCCTCAATAAAAAAGGAAAAAGGTAAAGTCTCTTGTAATTCACATTCCAAGGTAAGAGTAATTAGTATCACTAACACTGAAAGGGTCACATAAGCAGCCCTCTGCAAAAAATATTCATATAAACAGCTAATATGAGAATGTCACTGTTGACTTAATATCAAAGCTGAACATGTATAACAACTTGGCCTTTAAAGAATTTATAGAGAAGAGGGAAAAAAGTGTCAGGCAAAGAATAGAAAGAAAATAATTAGTGCAAAACAAAAGATACCAAACTCTTTGACAGTATATGTAAAACTATGACACAGGTCATTCTGGAAAACAAAGCAGGAGATCACAGAGCGTGTGCCGTCAAAGTAACTAATGTTAGCTAAATAAAACACTGACTCCACAGCAACAGGCATGGCCAGCACAATCTTTTTTCCTTTTTTTTTTTTTTTTTTTTTTTTCCGGGGGGCAGCATTTTGTATCCCACATTAAAACAAAGTCACTGGCTGTACAGATTTCTCTTCTTGCTAGGCACGGAATTTAAACACGGACTCCTTACCTCTGCCATCTCAAGCGACCTGATCTTCCTCTTTATTTTCCCTTGTGGCAAGCACTCACTTCCCCTCACTATGCATCATACTAAGTCACTATAGGATGCTTATTCCCTTGATACACAATGTATTAATCTCAACCTCAACAGTCTTTTTGTAATTTGCTACTACTTTCAGGTACTGGAATTCTCACTGCTTTTAAAACATGGCTCTTGCATTGGTACATTGAGTAAGTTAATGCTCATATTCTGCTCCCACACTTTTGTCTTTCCTTGTGTATTTAGAGGCTGGAATAAAATCGCACATCAATGTTCAATATAGAAGAATGTTTTAAATTTCAAATTGTATTTAATCAAAAACATGGTTACATGTGAAAACCATAGTTATAATACTTTAGTTGCTGCAAGAATAAAGTTGAGACTTTCCATTTCCATACACAAATTTTATTGCATTACCTGTATTCTAAGTACAGAGACAAACACACAATGACTCATAACAGACTTTAAACCTGCCCAAAGAACTGAAAAGTTCATTTAGTATTTGAGTCAAAGTTGATAGGACTTCAATAGCTGATAGGAAGCTCTCCCAATCTTTCTCCAAGAACAACCAGGATCCATAATATTTTTGGTCCAAGATGCATGATTTAAGTTCGCAACTGAGTTTATGAACGAGTGTATTTACCCCAGATGTGCAGCATAAACACAGAAGCAATAAAAAGAAGACTCATGACCAAAACTGGAACAGGACCACTAAAAATAAAGAAAGAAAATGTATTAACATAAAAAGTAACATCAACAACAACATCTGCCTTGTCCAAAGGCCAGTATCAGCCAAATGAGCTCGTCAGTTCATATGCAATTGTATGAGAAAGCTCTTACTACATTCCCATAGGAGCACCATAATACACAGGTATGAGACAGTCATCCAAACCAAACACTGCTGCTGCCCCTGCATTTTTAAAATAGGTTAAATATCCTAACCACTACATGACTGTAAGCACAACAACAACTACTTAAATGTAATTAACATTTCACTCTTGCTTATTGTCATTAAATGCATCTCCAGATTTTTAGAACTTATACCTGATTAGTAAATGGAGACATTTACTTATTGTAAATTAGTAAGTAAATGTAGACATTTAGTAAGTAAATGGAGACATTTGCTAATGTCTCCATTTACTAATCAGATATCCCCCTGAATAGACACAGATATAAGAGACAACAGAGTCCTCTAGCGGCTAGCCAAATTTTGGCATGAAGTTCACATAATCTGGTAGGTGTCTCTCAAAGTTTTTATTTCCTTTAAACACTGTGGCAGTGGAGTCAAGGTAGATGTGGGTGGGCGTGGAAGCTGCTGTTATATTTGGGGTTTTCTTTTTTTTTTTTTTTTTTAAAGATGGGCCGTATATCAATGTTAAGTCTGCTATAAAATCATTAAGACGTACAATTCCAACAGATTTTTAATCTTTTTTCCCCCCTTCGCAACTTTACGCATGTCCATGCTAATAGACCTAACCAGCTGTTCCATGCCATCCTGACACTACAAATGCCTTTTAATTACACTACTCAATATTGCTACATACCACCTAGTATCTGATGTTCAGCATGATATTAGAAGAAACACTGTAAAAATGCAGTTATCTAGCCTTTAAGAACTAACAACCTTTGCAGATTACTCCAAGTTTCAGTGTACAAGGTGGGTAATGTTACTTGAAAGTAACTTAATAAAATAAAGACTGAAATAATTTACTTTTTTATGAGATCTGGATGCACACATTTCAAATGTTCGTAATTACCATTTTCCACAAGCAGCTCTCAAACTCAAAGATTATACACCCTACTTAGGCTGATCTGCATACAAAGAACCCTGATTAGATGTAAAGCATTGAATAAGCGAATTAAGGACAAAATACAAGTTGACACCATGCAGTGTTTACACAAGTGCAACAAGAACCAGACTTGCATAGTGTAATTCTCCCTGTAAGGGAGAAAGCTTTCACTAAGAAACAGAACCTGCTCTTCAACAGCTAGTATTTCATCTGTGAAGATTATGCTCTATGAGAAATATAAATCATAAGCAACATCATAAGCAATAAGCAATATCATACTGCATATCATAAGTACAGAAACAAGCTTATAATAATTCTTAAAATCATAAGCAACGCACAACACCCTTAAAAGTTTTATCTAAATTACTGCCTAATTCATTTGTGCCTTTAATGGTAGTAATACATAAGTGATTTGTCACCTATAGCTTTTATGGTACTACACAGCAATAGACATCTATTTGCTAAAGAGGAGCACTACTAACTGGAACAATGTAAACAAAAATAAACAGCATCTTTCGCATGCAGCTTACATTAGTTCTACTACAGAAGTACAGAAGTTTTCAATTCAGGTATCATGTCTATTTCAGTTCCAGAGAAAACCAGTTAGAACATTGGAATTCTCCTCATACACCTCAGTCTTTTCAACCTTAAATGTCTGCTTAAAAATATATATGTATATTTTTATGTAAAATTCAATAAACATCAAAAATTGTGCTGTGTGTTCTCAGAAGCATCGGGCTGAAGGCTGCATACCAGTACCACAAGTCCAATTTGATTGTCTATCATGATTCCATGGAAACATCACCTATTGCTCCTTAAGCAGGAAAGCTCAAAACAAGATAGAGAAACCAAAGGAACCAAATGACACAGAAACAGTGGCAAGTTTTAGGACACCATTTTGGTTTTAGCCCTGCTAAAGGACAAAATACTAAGTTCAAACAGAAAAATATCATATCCCACCTTCAACCACATCCCACACAGCTCCCTTTTGCATTTTGCAGTATCCACTACTACAAAGGCATTTTCCTGAGGCAAAACAAACTTGCCTATTCAATGTGATTTTTATTATTTCTGATTAAGAATACTCAGTAAAAAAGCCTGAAGCATCAGAGGTACAATTATGCACAATACACAACTTTTACTCTACAGCAGAATCGCCCCAATCACAGCTAATACAAGATAACCCTTCCTTAGTTGTTTTTATCAAAAAAGATTTTTTTTGATATCAAAAAAATGATTTTTTCAGATTCCTAATAATGCTAGGAGTACATATTATAAGTGGCACAAGAAACTAAATTCAAAAATTAATTTCACTGATGTAGGTCACCACCCTTTCTAAAAGGAGCTTCAGCTGAAGCCTCTGAGGCAATGACAATCCATCTATAACCCATTTTCATTTTAGAGCTTACTGGATAGATGTGATACAGCAATCATAAAGCTACAAGGAAGGAAGTTATTTCAAAGCCATGGTTCACAACACGTTGCAATTCCTCTGCAGCTGGGCTGTAAAACCAACTGAGTTCTACAAATCTGCTCCTTCTGCTAACAGCCTGACCATAAAAGCACCCTCAAGGCTGACTGTGAGAACCCCTGGGCTGCAGCACAGTTAGGAGAGGAAAGAAAATCTACCAACTTGCTGGTATTGAGGTTTAGAGCAATGTATAATACGGGTATAAAGCAGTAAGAGGGAGATCTGTCCAGGAGACTTACTGGAGAAGTTGGTGTTGGCATTTTGACTGCTTTTAAGCACAGCTCTGTTGAAGGGGGTAAGGGTAGCAGGCTTCTCTCAGTTCGTTTTTATTCATTTTTACCTAAGCTTTAGTAGACTTCATGGTACACAAAAGGCTTGCCTATCTGCACAGACACCATCTAAAGCATTAGTGGTGTTCTTTTAGCCTTTGCCTTGCATGCTCCTTGTATTCAGAATGGGGAAAACAAGATTGACAATAAAAAAAGTAATCATTTGACAAGTTATAGTAAGTTTTTGTTTGTTTGTTTTGGCGGGAAGGACATGTTTTATTGGGAGAGAGGATAGGGCTTTTTTTGTTCTTGTTCTGGTGATTTGTTTCTCTTGTGTTTGTTGTTTTGCTTTCTTTCTTTTGTGTTGCTTTGTCTTTTTAAGTCAAGCGCACATGGAAATACTGAACACATCACAGAAGTTACCATTTGTGATACAGTCACTACCTATAGCATCATAAACTGTCTCAAATATTTTCCTGTGCAGCCAGCTGCAATGTCTTTTCTATTGTTGTATTTCAATGTATGTCTGCTCCAGAACAAAGCACTGAGAGATTCTATAAGAAGAGAAGCAACAGGGGAATTATCTGGGTCTCCTGAGCCTACTGAGCCCAGTAACAAAAATTAAGAGGCTGTGAAGTACACACCTTCCCTCTACAAAAAATGTGTGTGAAAACTGTGATTTAGCACATAGTCATGTCAACTGAAATGGCCCTTGTCCCCCTATACTCAAGTGCTAGGCTGGTTAGGCCAGTTTGAACAACAAACTGAAAGACTGAATCTGGTTAAGAAGTAAAAGGTCAGGCTGTCTTTACAGTTTAGGGGACACTAACATCAGTCATTTGACCACCATCTGGGAAGGTTAGTCATATAGTAACAGAGATGACCCCGTTTAATTCTTATGCTGAGTTGGGAATTGAATAGCATTGCAATATCCTGCTTATCTTCACCCACAGTCTGAAAAAAAGAAAATCTGTAAGCACAGAGTGTATCAATTGTACTGTTTTCCAAATGAAAAAATGAATGGCTGGAATCTGTGTGCCATGCTAAAAGCAGAAAGCCAATTAACAACTTTTATCCCAACTGCAAACCTGGGCCTAAGTGCACTGTGACAACCTGTCCCAACTTCAAAGGGGCTGCTCAGAGTCTTTAGGGACCGCCCAAAGCCCACCTACGTAACCACAGACCGAAAACCTTTTCTCTTTTAACAAAACCTTTTCTCTTTTAGGCAACCACAGCCTGAAGCTCAATGCTAGCCCCTCCAGGTTTACCCGTTAAGTACTAGGCTTCCTCCCAAAGCTTACGCGGCCACCAGTTCAACACGCGTCCCCCCACCTGCAGCAAAGCGCGAACGTTTAAAGACCAACCGGCTCACGGGCAGACAGGCACAGCGGCTGCCCGCGCCTGCGGCCGCCCAGACCCCCCGACTTACACTTTGAGGCCCGGCGAGTCCTCGGTGTAGAAGCGCCACATGCCGCCCGTGCCGGTGGACGTGGCGCGCCCGGCGCTCCTCGTGCCGCAGCTCGCGTTCTTCCTGCGCGCGCGACAGGGCGAAGCAGAGGCCCGAGGCCGTTAGGGAGCCGCGAGCGGCCCGCGCCGCCGCGCCGGGGGCGCCCCAGGCCCGCGGAGCCCCGCGCCGCCCTCCCGCCCGCCCTCCCTCCTACCTCTGGCGCACGGTGGAGCCGGCGGCGCGGGGAGCCACGGCCTTGCTGGGGGAGCGGCCGGAGGCGCCGACGCTCGTGGCGCTGGGGTTGGGCCCGGGCTGCGGAGAGACACGGGGAAACAGCGGGGGAGAGAGGGGCGCGGAGAGGCGTCAGGCGCGGGCCCGCCGCCGGCAGCGCGGGCCGAGCCGAGCCGGGCGGGCGGGACGCACCATGGCGCGGCGC